CTGAGTGTGTGATTATTGGCTTGCTGTACACTAGGTAACGAATCCACTTTTCGGACAACACAAGGAAAACCTCCTTGTGATCCCACTGCTGTTTTAGCGTTACCGACACTTAAGCACCAGCACATCTGTAACAGTCCTTTTTTGAACCAAGATGGGACCAGTTGAATTTGTGTATTAACGCATCAGGGTGAGGCAACACATATAAAAGAGAAACAACTCTTTTGAATGTCAGTCTACCGCCCAAATCATTAAGCTGTCCCTCTGCCTTTCTGTACCTATTTTGCATGATCAGCGATTAAAACCCAGAAGGACCATTATAGCACAGGAGGTACACAGACTTACTGTGAAATCAGAATCAGAAATCTTCTAATGCACTCCTACATTCCTGAAAACAAGTCAGAATCCAAGCTGCTATTTTTGTTAAGATTGCACAAAGGGAAAAAAGTTTGACAGCTTTTTTGCATTTCTCCATTGTAGAAGATTGGTTTGTTTTGCAAACTGTTTGTTTTCTTTTGAAATAGAATGTTCTATCTTTTCTGGAAGACCCAGAGCATGAACTAAACTCTTACTGAAGGGGTATATAGCAGTGATGTTTTCTTCTATTTAGCATGCTTTAGTAAATTATATTTCAGTATTTGTTTGCTAGCAATTAAGAACTGATTTTCCTTCCAGCCATCCACAGCATCTTTCAGGTAAAAACAGGGCATAATCTGAGTTACTGCTAAAAAATGTTTTTAGCAAAACAGAAGACAACTGCGCTTCTGAATTAATTCAGTTTGTGTGCAGAAAAGGAGGAAAGGTTTGCGAGCATCAGAATTTCAGCAATTCAGTTGGGAAAGAGACTGACACGACTTAAGCATCTCTGAAATGTTATGCTCTGCCTTCCCTCTTGAAAGTGGTGCTGCTTATGTATCTTCCTGCCACTGATTACCTGTTTCCTAGGGGGCTTGTTGCTGCCCTGGGGACCCCAGCAGGGCCAGAGATGCTGTATGGGGAGGGGCCAGGGACACAGCATAAACCTTCTCCTGAAGGAGTCCTTGCAAACGGACCCTGGAGAAGGACTCCTCTACCTCCAGTTGCCATCCTCTTTGCTCACACTGCATGTTCTATATAAACGAGGAAGCAAAAAAGCCCCATGGGTGCCTAAATATACAAATAAAAGTTACTTGCAAACTTTTTATCATAATGTTAACTTTTTTCCCTTTTTCTCAGGTTTTTTTCCTGTTTAGACTTACTGGAGAAGAGTATTTGAACACACAAGGCATCCAAGTGATGCCCATGGGCTGTGGAAGAATTATGTGGCTCTTATTCCAAACATGCATCTGAAACTGCACTTCCTGAAGAGATTTTCAAAAAGTCAGCAACACTGTAGCACACACACAGTATTAAATAAAAAAAAAAGCTTCCCACTTCCCACACACTGTGACTTTTATAGTGCACTGACTAAAGGCTTAATATAGTTAATAAACTCAGTATGTATGTATTTCACTACTGAGATGGATTTACATTAAGCATTCAATTTTCATTAATATGGTGTAATTTTGACCTGGTGAGACAACTGCCCAGACAGAACTATGGGGCTTATATGTGAGCCTGGGATTTCCAAGGACCATTCAACCCTCCAGATGCTGTAGGATTCCCTGAAACAAAGAGAAAAAATAAAAGGGAATAGAGAAAAAGAATAGAGAAGTTTATTACTTCACGGTTGCTGTGTAAGTTAAGGGACAAAGTTACCAGCAGTCAGAGCTGCTACCTGAAATAGCAGAAAATAGACCTGTGCATTTGCACAAATGCAAATGTGAAATAAGGTGTTAGAAAAAAGTACTGTTTGGTCAATGAAGCAGTAGGATCAGCCCAGTCCTTTCTGTTCATTTACACCCTGTACTCCCTTTTTACATTATTAGGTAATCTGAGAATAAGGTATGGGATAGAAGTAACACACACAAATAAAACATAGGATTCTTAATGTTTCATTATAAACAAACCAACTGTATGGCACAATGTTTGCTTTATAGATTATGTAAAATGTTTATTAGGAAGTAAAGTGCTCAGTTTTACAGATCAATACATTCTTGATCATTGTAGAAGACTTGCATAATTAACAGCTTCCTAATAAGACCAAACACTGTAAATTACTATGCGAAAACTTTACCTTTGTAATAAGTGACAAATGATATTATAATCTAAAGTTGAAAAGTGAAATAATAAAATGTTTGTAACATTTGTTAAGTGGCCATGCACTTGCTGCAAGGCCTATTGTCAACACACGGGTACCCCATGAAAACTTACTGCACTTCAAGATGAAGTTTGTTATTAAGTAACGACACGTTACAGAAATATACCTCAACAAATACAGCTATGAATGCAAACATTTTCATAATAAACATATACTACAAATAAAAGATGAACTGCCTGATTGAATTTACATTTTGAAAGATACATTTTTACACGAAACCTATTTAAAACCATACTGATTGGTTTAGTTTTGCTTTCTTTCCCCCCAGGAAGGCCCTGCCTCACCAACAGATGACCACTAGATCACTTCTGCACACTCCCCAGTCCCTGCTGCCATAAGCTTCAGTATGCCACAGGCTTTACAGGCCACAGGCACAAGCCATAACACAAGGTATTCTTAGTAAGGTTCCAGCTGACTGCTGGAGAACTCAAGTTGGGTCATTTGGCCGAAGTCATTGATTTTAAGTACATGATTATTTAAATACTATCTTAGCATTTAGGTAACCCTTCACCTTAGAAACCGAACATCAGTTACATTACACACATGTAATTAGCTGGCATGCCTCAAAGTTTAAGCTGTAAATCATGTCACATACCAACACACTACACATTTTGGATATGAATATAAAGACAAGGCTATGTATATTTAAATTGCTTTATATTGTATTTTCTGTTTTCCTTGCACACCAGCTGGCTATGTGTACAGCTAGATTTTTTTTTTTTAATTTGTTTGTTTGAAGTCAGAAATGCCAGTTCAACACAGAAAAGCTTTCCTCAGGAAGGTCTGTAAGGTCCAAAAAACTTTCAATCAAGGCAAGACAGAGCTTAGTCTGAGTGTCTCTCGTTTCACACAAATGCCCTAACCATTGTGCTGTGCACCATTTTCGGGAGTTGACAGGGTCTCTTGTGAAAGAGTATGAATTTCTTCCTAGTACCGGACAAAATAACCCACAGAAAGAAAAAATACTTCACAAGAATCACAGCCTGTTTTCGCACTTCATTCTGTTCTCAAGCCAAAGGTACTAAGAAATTCCAATGTCCACTGTCCTGGTTTTGGCTGGGATAGAGTTAATTTTCTTTCTAGTAGCTGGTATAGTGTTACATTTTGGGTTCAGTATGAGAAGAATGTTGATAACACACTGATGTTTTCAGTTAGTCTAAACACTACTTAGCAACAAGCCAAGGATTTTTCAGCTTCTCATGCCCAGCCAGCGAGAAAGCTGGAGGGGCACAAGAAGTTGGGAGGGGACACAGCCAGGGCAGCTGACCCCAACTGGCCAAAGGGATATTCCATACCATGTGATGTCATGCCCAGTATATAAATTGGGGGGACTTGGCCTGGGGGTGCAGATCACTGCTTGGGAACTAACTGGGCATCGGTCAGCAAGTGGTGAGCATTGTGCATCACTTGTTTTGTATATTCCAATCCTTTTATTATTTTCATTTTATTATTATCACTATTTTTTTTCTTCCTTTCTGTCCTATTAAACTGTTCTTATTTTAACCCACAAGTTTTACTTTTTTCCTGATTCTCTCCCCCATCCCACTGGGTGGGGGGGAAGTGAGCGAGCAGCTGCGTGATACTTAGTTGCTGGCTGGGCTTAAACCATGACATCCACCTTGGGCTTCCTCCTGCTCCACCTTACCTTAATTAAGTTTCTGGGCATATGGTTTCTTGTAAACTTAAAACAGGAAAGGCATGAAGTCTATTTAGTTTTAGCAAATTCTCCAGTTAGAGGGAAGGCATTCTGGGTCATTGTACATCCAGGCAATGCAGTTGTAAGAACATATGCAAGATGTAAGCTTTGCTTAAGCAGTACTACCACAAGAATGAGGTGCTAACCCCGGCAACAACTGCTTTTTGAAACAGAAGGCACCAACATAACATACACAAGCTACTTATACTTTGTTAAATAGACATTTTTTCCTCTATATACCTTACTAATAGCTAATATGTGTTTGACTATGTAGCTTTCCATTTTCATTTACACCAACTCTGTCTTTAAATACAAGACAACTGCCATCTTCAGGAAAAATGCACAATTGACAACCTCCCTCCTAAATCGGCATTCCACATAGCAAATATTGCTAGGCAAAACTACAAACACCATGCCTCAATGCTTTCTATAGGAAGCCAATGTAATTTCAGTGTTGCATTTCCTTTCAAAAGCAAAGCTTCTATGACATGGAAAGCAGACGAAATGAAATACTAGAAGTCATTGATTATACTACAAATACCTTTCCAAAGGAATCACATGTTGCACCTCAGTAGAAAAGCCTATGTAGAAATATACCTAGTAATTTTACAAGCAGTTCTGTAAATGTAAATACAGACTACGTAGTCGAGACATGATTAGAACTTCACAGAGCACAAGATTAGATTTTCCCAACTGTCAGCAACTTCTCTGCCCCCTTCCCTGTCACACCCAAGGAAGAGTGTTCTTCAATTTTGCGTGCTTTTAAATAATGTACTTTCTGCAAAGTAACCATATTTACCTAAGAACCTGTGGAATGTTTATCCCAGGAACACCAAGATCATGAAAGCATAGCATTAAAAAATGGGCACTTTGCAACAAAGCTGAAAATGATTACATTAGTTGGGTGTGAAGAGGCAGTTCTCAAATATTACTTCTGAAATGCTAATGAAATGCAAAAACACATAATGCATACAGTTTCCATTGCGGAATAACGTGATTTACAGTTGTACAAACTAAGTGCATTTTCTTCTGTTTAAAGAAACATAGTATTTCTCAAAAACATTTAAGTTAATCAAAATGTTCGTACACCAAGAATAACTCAGAAAAATAGGTAGAAACTCAAAATTTTAAAAAAAGTGCTGTTTTATTTCTTTGAAAAGTGTTGGCTGTTATAATGAATGAAACAATAAACTGATGCCATCTCCTTTTAAAAACTGCTTTAAAAAGGCATTTAAAAATCCTGTTTTCTACTAGAAAGCAGAAAACACACAGCCTTTCGTTTGAGTGTTTTAGCCAGAGAGCATCATTTTGTCTGAAGCTTGCTGCCCTCATGAAAGTATTCCCCATAATACATGTATGGAACCAAAATTCTGTCTAGGTAGATTTTGTCACACCTGGTTTCCATTCTGTCTCCTCCATTTTCATTTCCAAGGCTGACAGTCTCACTGTTGGTAACTTGAATGTGACAAATGGCTTACATAGGTCTGAAAATGCCTTATGAAGACAATATTTACTTTTGCCCACCAGTGAAAATTATCCTTAGTGGTTTGATCAGGATGATCACCTCATGCTGGGAAACAGTGAAGGAGCATATTTGCCGGCTTAATACTGACCTGAAACATTTAGAATCACCTACAAAGTTAATCCTACACATGCATGTTATTGCCCCCATTTCCTCCTCCCCCATCAATACCATCTGACTGGGAGGAAGATGGCCGAGAGTTCCTCGACCGAGGCTGGCCATTCAGTCCAAGTGGTGTTCCCAACCGATGGCTCATTTGGGATGCCGTATCATCCGATTCCCATCGCTCCAACTCCTCTCGTACAAGTCGCTCCATTTGTTCCCTGTGGATTTCATTGTCACGACCCAGCCTTTCATCCTAAACAGATTAAAAGACACAAGCTGGAAGCGCAGCTTCCAAACTGCGGTCTAAGCAAAACCCTATACAAACATGGGAAATTCTTATACCACTCAAATATTTCCATAGGCTAGTGAAGAAACGCAGCTATTGCAGTAAATTGTTTTCTTTCCAGTGATGTAACAGGTTGTCACCTTCACGTATGAAAGTGCGAATTGTATTAAAGTTTCTAATATTTAAATCCACCTCCAGAAATGTAAAATATACTGAGGAAAGCACACCCACAAGGATGCTCCATAGCAAGAATCAAACAGAATTATTGACTGGAACAACAGTAACAGCCAGGAACACCGTTATGTGTGACAGGGCAGCTACAAGTCTGACCTACAAAACCCACAAAGACAGTCCATCTCACCCACCTCTTAACAGTCCGATTCTGGCTGTTCTTGCCCCATCAGGAAGCTGACAGGTTTTAGCATCCACAGAAGTAACACGTTTGTCCCACAGGCCACTTCCAAAGGGCCCTCAAGAAAGAGAGGGTGGGAGGGGAGGCAATAGAAGCTAGATATTCCTGGTGACAGAAGTGACCTGCTTCCACCTGCCATATGCAATCCCAGAAGCCACATGGGAGAAGAAGAGCAGGCTGCACAGTCCTGCTGGGCTGGATCCCCCAGACTCTTAACAGACTAGTCCATAAAAAGCTTTGTATTAATCCCAACAGACACCAAGGGATAAACAAGCTGCTTCAGCAACTACCAAACACCACTGCTGTTCAGTTCAGGGGTTTAAATGGTGCTCTGTTGCCTGACTGTGACACAGTCCTGCTATAAGATGGGTTGTCGTATTTGAAACTTGCATCATGTCCCTAACATTTCATCTTTTACATTTCATGTTTTCCTAACACAAAACTGAAATCACTTGGCCACTGCCAAAGCACCCACCTTGTCTTTACCACCACTCTCTCAACTCTCCCAAGCAAAGAAGTGCTAACAGCAGGCAAGCTATGCAGGTTGTGACCAGACAGGAGAGAGTGGACTTCTTACCTCTGTCACTCCATCTAACAGTCTTCCCAACACATCTCTCCTTTTTAGTTTGGCTCTCTCCATTGCTTCGAGCTTCACAATAACTGCATCGATCTTGGAGACAATACTGCCAATAGAATGCTCCATGCGATCAACCCGCCTCATGAGTCTGAGGGCAACAAGTGTGAGCTTCAGTGACATTTCTGAGTCAGTATCATTCCAGCATGTCAACACACAAGAGCAGATAAGGATGAGACAGCATTTTAATTCAAGCACACGTGACCTTCCACAAATGAGTCTTACTGTCCAGAAAGGGACAAAGTACACAAGAGCAAGAAGATAACACAGGGTAAAGCAGATGGGGAAAAAAGTACATATTCCACTCTGTTTTTCCTGCTTTTAGGTCATCCTTAGCAAAATTTGTTGGTTCTAGTTACTCAAATTCCTCATTCAGCTAGTGTTGCTATAATTAATTAATATTGAGATCTATAACTTTAGACAAAATACACACAAGTAACTTCAACTTATTAAAAACAACAGCTGAAGTTCTCACTGAACCTAAAACCACCTGAAGATTTTACTACTAAAACAAAATCAGAAAAGTCTACTGGCATTATTGTAGCATGGCCATTTTCTCTGTCTTTTCAATGACCAGGTTTTAAGGATAGGATGGGGTTTGTTGAGGTTTTTTTGTTTGCTTGTTTTGATTTGGTTTTCTAACCGATTCCCATGAGTCTCTCTAAAGTACTTCCAGTTCAGATATTACTTGAAAGCTACTAAAAGGAGTGACTTAAGCACCTTAAAAACATAATATTTAGTTTCATGAATAATTTGATTAATATTCAGAGTTATAGGAGAGACTACTATATAACTGAAAGAAAAAAGCCCACAAGGGGAAAAAAAAAACCCAACCAACCAAACCCCGAAACAAACCACCATAAAGATTCATCCCCCTCAGAAGGATAAACTTACACTTGGAACTCTTCATAGGAAACCCCACTAGAGCTGCTGCCCCTCCTTCTGGAGCTGTGTCCGCTGTCTTCATCCTCATCCTCCTCAGAGTCGTCCAAGCTCCGGGGGAAGCTGCGGCTGCTCAGAGGACGTGGCAGAGAGCTCCTATCCAGGTCCAGATCCTCCTTTGTGAAAACACAAGCCACAGACAGAGAAGATGTACAGACTTTCACATGTACATGAGGGATAGGGGTGTCAAGGTCAAAGACCTCCTGCCCTCCACCAGCTGCCCCTTGCTTTTTTACAGTTCTGCTCGGACAGCCAGGGATGAGAGCAAATGTAAACGGAAACGAGGGGATTCTTCTGAGGCAGCAAACCAGCATGGAGAGAAGACTGGCAGACAGCACTGGTGCAATACCACTTCTAATGCTAGGCTTACCCTCTCTTTCTCCAAGTCATCCCTCATCTGCTGATGTTCATGCTCTGTCAATTCCTGGTCCCCATCCTGGTCATATTTGGTAAATATTGCTTCAATCTCTGCATCCGTGTGCCCCTTCCTGAAAAGGCAGTAAAAGCAGTTCCCTTACTTTCCATTTTTCAGATGCTGAACGAACTTCAAGTATTAGAAAAACACTTCACTCCAAACAGACTTTCATCCCCAAGCCAAAGACACGACTGATCCCAGTGCTGTCTATAAATTCCCAACACTGATAACAAAGAGCTCAGCCCTCAACTTTCATTAGTTAAAAGCACAAATCTCTCCTAGACTGTACCCTGCTCCTTCACAGCCATCCCTTTTATACCTCCTTGATTTGTTCCCTTTCCTTGGATTCCTGCCTGTTCACAAACTCCTGCAGTGGCTGATAGAAACATTACCGTTTCCTCAAAGGCCTTAGATCTCTCCTTGCTCAGACCCTTTCTACCCCACAACACAGCAACTCAAGGAGGTTGGGCCCCAGAGTGCCAAATCCTTCCTCCAGTGTGGGATGCCACCCCTCTGCAGCAACACCAGGCATAGTGCAGACTCCAGGGGCCACAGCGTAGCAGACCTCCCTTAGTTAAGACTTCTCTTCCACCTCAAACTGATCATTCTTTTTCTACTCCTCTCTTCTTCTGCAGTTCCATGCCACAGTTTGGATTTTCCTTTGTACAATGCCTGCAGACCCATATGCAAAGATGGTTTACCTGTACACATCTGTTTGTTTACATAAACCTCCCACCAGATACAGGAAAAGCACATGCTTTGTTACCCACCAACCAAAAGAAAAGCACTCTGCTGTGTTGTCTTTAAAACATTAGCTTACTCTTGCCACATCACAGAAGAGAGAGAAACTCACATCAAAGACTTAACATCACATGTCTCTGGGAATACTATTCAAGATAAGAAGTAACAGCTTCCTTACCCTTTTAGATCTTGCCGGAGTTCATCAAAATTTAGTTTTCCTCCACCTTGTCTCAGACTTTCTGAAATGTCATCAACAGTAGTTTTCTTCAGTTTAAGTTTGATCATGGCTTTGTTGTAGCCCTAAAAGAAAAAGTGGTATTTCATGTTTTACTTGTCATGAATGTTAACACTTGATTTCTTATAACTTGTCAGATTACAAAAATCAGCTAGTAAATACTGTCATTCAGTGTGTTCCAAAAGCCCTGCAAGAATCTGTCTTTTCCTCCAGTTTATCCATCTTTTATTTCAGTGTTTAAATGGGCAACATACAAATACCTTTGCAGTTAGAGGTAAGGCTTTCATCCTTCAATTTGCACTGCAGGTCAGTAGAAATGGAGTATTTTGTCCCAGTAAGACACCTTTGGCAGTTACTGACAGTTAAGTGACAGTTTTAAATAAAGCTGACAAAACAGGTACAACTTTCTGCAGTCATTTTGCTTATGTCTCATTCTTTGGTTTTAGGAATGAATTTTTTTTAAAAGTCCTCATCCCAACAAAGTAGCACTTTTCATTTTTCTCTGCTCTGTTTTAATAACCAGTTTCCAAGTTCTACACTCTGAGTTACTGGTCATGCTGAGTATGTGTTTAGACATTTCTGACCATGTTACAGCACTGCATCCATGCCAGAGTGCACACACATGCACGTGTTTTTCCTAAACTGGGATTCAGGCCAAGCTCTTAACTTTGTATTCAACAACCTCAATGGCAGCTGCCCCTGGGAGCTCCCAACCCATTATCCAAGACTTGCCTCATCTTATTGCCTGAAATGAGGTAATGCTGAATTCTGTTACCAAACCAAATAGCAGTTTAGCTTCATCAGTTCAATATTTCTGTACACACCTAGACACACAAATCCTGTGTTGTATTCAGTAGGCTGATAATTCAACACAAAATCTCAGATGACTAAAATACATTGTGATGGAATGTTTTCATTCATTTAATGTACACTCAGCTCAGATTCGTTTATTTTAATTAAGAGATGTGTATTTTCATCACCTGCTGCCAGCTTTACTTTGTATGGTTTATATAGTGTTTTATAAAGTAAGTTCAGATGTGAGGAATGAGGTGTCAAACAAAACGTTACTTTTACCTTTCTGATAAGGTCAGACAGTTCCATTTCTGCCTTCTGTTGTGCCATATCCGATTTGACTTCAGAGTATGTATCATTGATAATGGCCAAAAACATGTTCTGTTCATGAAAGAAATGAAAAAGCCCACTTAAAAATGTCAACAAGTCTGAGCCCTACCACTCCTATGACCTTCATGTGCAGACCTATACATGAATTTTTTAAAAAGGGCCAGGAGAAAATAGTGGGCTGTTTAAAAAGCACTAACATCAAGAGTTTGAGATATTGAAATATGATGCACTGCAGTATAACAATTTTTAATCAAGACTACTGTTTATTCACGTAACTGGACAATTACTTTCCAGAGAGGGTTCATGCCTACAGACAGCAGTGGCAATAAACCATGCCTGTTTAATATTATACATGTAAGTTTGGCCTTCCACCTGCAAGGCCAAACTTACACAGATAACAACTGTGAATTAATCTAGGCAACACAGCTGGTAACAAAAATGTCTGAGGAATCAAGTTAACTATTCATCCCGTAATAACCAGCACAAAACACAAGGTTCTTACCTAGTTACAGCTCTACTTGCATTTCAGACTGAAGATAAAAACAAAAAAAGCTTAAAATCAGACACTTTGGCATGTATGCCACCAACTCCAAAAAGAGTTTGGTCACTTGTTCAAACAGAAGAGAAAATATTGGTCTCACTAACCCTGTGCGAAGCACATAATTTACTTGAGCCATGCTGTCATTACTAAAAGGGTCCTGCTGAACATGGAGTAAACATGACTGAATTGCAAGCTGGACATTCAAGTTCAGAAATAATTACTCAACTTACTGGCACGTTCAATATCCCACTCTCATGCAGAAAGGCAGTGTTAACCTCTATTTCCTCATGGACTTAAAAAAAGCGCTTTAGGAGAACAATATTCCAATGCTGTACCTTCGTGCATTCTTGCCCAACACCAGAGAATTAAGAGGTAACTTGACTACTATTTTGCTTTCAGCTGTCCAACATTAAGAGTTGGTGCTTTCTGCCCATCTTCCCTAACTTGGTTTCCAGGTCTCTGACTGGTATCAGGGAGCTTATGGGAACATTTCACTCCAGCCAAATGACAGGATGTGCGGGTATTAATAAGCACACAAACAGCGAGTATTTTGGATAACCTGCTGTGCCTTCACACTCCAGTGCTTTTCTGCTACCCCTTAGATAAAAATATTTCTTTCCCTTACTGGACACTAGCCTCTGGATTTTGTGAGGTGCTTCAAAACAAATATGAAACCTGCTTCATGTGCTTCTTTGGCCAGAGTGACCCATACGTTATTTTACAATAGACTACTGCTCCATCTCACTGAACACTGAAGACTCTCCGCTTCCTTACCAGCAAATAGCCAAGTTGAAGTCTTGTCCCGTAAATAATACCTGAATGCCATTTCTCCTCATCTCAAAGAATAATAAAAAGTCTCATTAACTACAAGGGTCATTAAATAACTCTAAAAGTTATGATGATACAGGACTGCTGTACGATTTTAAGCTTAGTAAAATCCTGCTTTAATGCTTGCCACCTTATCAAATCACCAGAAGATACACAGTTTGGGGAACAATCTGAGAATTTCTTGCTTAGATAACAGCTTCCATTTGGTGATATCATCAGAAACAAAATTATTACTATATATTAATGTTAGTACCAAACTAACTGAAAACAACATCCATGTAGAAGATACCAGGGCTCTTCACTTGTATCGACATAAAAAATTAATTTACTTGGTCTCCTAGACTTCTAAGAGAGAGGCCTCCTCCCTCCACTTTGTCATATAAATTATTAGTAAGATTGTAATATGGATTCAGTACTAGTATTAACAGAGAGTATACAAAAGATGAGTACTCACTCACAATGTACTCACTGTTTGAATTTATTTGTCATAGAATCATGTCTACATACTGCCTCTCAGAGAAGTTGAGCTTCATATAATACTGTTTGTCAAAAAGTGTACAGGCAATCTGCACTGGGAAGGTGAGAAAGACAGGGCCCAACTCTGTCCCAGGGAAGGAAAAGAGGATAGGAAAGAGGCCTTTGCAGGCAAACCTGCATATCTGAAAGCTGCTGCACTGCTGTAGAATTAGGCTCTTCTAGCAGGCAAGCTGTGCGTCACATGCATGAACTAGGCTGTTGTAAACACAGCCAGCCATGCATTAGAGCGCTTTATAACCAAGAGCCTGCATGGAACATTACAGCTACTTTTTACCAAAAGATACGGGCTTGCTGTGTATGCCAACCAGGCACTATTCAGATTTTAGAAATAAAAAATTCTTTATAATAAAAAAAAAAGTAAAAAACCCTACAACATGGAGCACTATACGGGAATGACAACTAACATACAATGCAAATCTATTTTAAATGAAGAAAAAAATGACAGTGTGTTGTGACCAGCTACGTAACAGTCAGGCCCCTAAATGAATTGCACATTCACCATTATCAAAAAAAGCCCCAGGTAGCAGTAGGAATCAAAGAACAAGAGATGCAAAAACGGCCACCTACCCACCCCGCATAAAAAAAGGCGTACATACCAAAAGAATGAAGAACATAAAGAACACAAATGTAGTGAAATAAATTGGTCCCAAAATTCGATTAGCTTCTTCAACCTCTGTGAAGTTGAAGTCTCCCAAAATGATGCGGAACTGAGTAAATCTTAAAAAAACAAAACACATCCAGGAGTTGAAAAAAAAACCACTTTTGGAGCTGTGCAAGAATTCTCAAACTATTTTACCCTAACAGTCTGACTATGGCCAGCAGAGAAGTCTGCACTACTGTAATACTTTATCAGGCACTACAATAGTCAATTCTTCAAGCCCATCTCTAGGCATAACCAAACTTGCAGTCAGACGCCATGCACACAGAACAAAACTAGAGTGGTTACTTCTGGCTGTCGATCACAACTGATCATGGGGGAAACAGGAAGCAGAGCAAACCAGTGATTACCATTGTGAAGCTTTAAGACCCACTCTGATCACTCTCCTACTCCTTCTGCCTCTCACATACATACAGCCCCAACCCTCTCCCTCTAAAGCTGTCTGTACAGGGCCAAGGCTGGAAGAGGCTTGGCACTGTACAGCACCATCAGCATATGTCAAGTTCCTCCGCTTCCCTACAAGAAACTGTTTGCACCACTGCCCCAGTGTAAGGGGTCGGGGGAAATCGATAACTGAACAACCTGGTAATTACCTCGGTTAGAATCAGGTTATGTTGTACCAAATCAATAAAGGAAAAACTGATTAACAACCCTATATCAAGTCCTATCTCTCTCCTGGATTCCAGCAGATACTTACAAATTTACTAGTTGCTAAGATGGACTCCATTTCTGAGTCAACCAACGACACACACTATCAGGAACATAGGAATGTGACCCACTTATAAAAATGATGTCACTTCCATTAATCGAAAACTGCCATTTTTAGTTCACTGATCTAACTATAGCATATTCTTAATCTCACAGCAGAGACAGTTTTTGAAGTAAAAACGTTATAAGAAATGCATTTGCTACTGAACTACATCAACAGTGATATGTCTGCAGCTTATCTGTTTAGATGGATGTTGTAGGATTTGTTTGGTCTCCGATGAGGCAACCAAATCCATTTACCAATGTACTGAGAAATTCTTTGTATTTTTTATTCTTGTACTTACATGCAGTCCTGGAAAGTGCTGAAGTCATCGATTTGAGTGCCAAAGACAAGATAGGCCAACTGAGCATATGCTAAGAAAATAATAAAAAACATAATAGCAAAGCCAATGACATCTTTGACGCAGCGAGACATGGTAGTGGATAACTGACTCATTGTTCTGTTGAAGTTAACAAATTTGAAAAGCTGTTAAAAGAAAAACAACAACTGTAAAGACAAGGAAGACAACAATTTCTTAACACAATCACTCTCCAGCCTTTTACACATGAGATCTTACTGAATTTGACTGGAGACAAAGGCAGTTAATTTACACTTAGAAATACGTCACTTACTAAAAACCACTGAGGCTTGAAATGTGAAGAAAATTCTGTGAGAACACCAACTTCTTGTTTGGATGTGGGGTTTTGTTTGTTTGTGTGTTGTTTCACTCCCCTGTTTGGCACCCTGGCTTCAAAGCAGTGTTACCAAAATGCTTCCAAAAGCCTATTTATTTATCTTTATCTTCAATGAAGATGTTAGCTATGAAGTAGTAAAATGTGAGAAAAGAAGATCTCTCAGCTGACTTTGCTCTGAGCAAGTGGTTGGAGCAGAGACTTTCCAAGGTCCCCTCCAATGTGCATTACTCTGTTACTCTGCAGTTTACCATTATTTCTTACAATAAGCCACTGTATTGCTTAAACCATGATGCAAAAATTAGATGCAACTTTTGTCTTATAAAACAGTAAGAGGTTAGCTCACTTGCTTGATAAACCTAAGTATTAGTCTGGAGTATCAGAGTGGAAATTCACTTATTGGTCTTACGTTTTCCTGCTAGACAGTTTATTAACTAAATGTTCCTCTGCAACTGTATACATACAGAGGACAGGAAAATGAGTATGGACATGGAAAGAAGTATCACTAGAAAGGCAGTAAAACAGAGAAAATAAGTTTAACTAAAGTAATGTCTCTAGTTTTCAAATGAATTGGACTAGCTTTACCAACCCTTCTAACGATTCAGAAGTTTTGAATACATAAAATGGGCACAGTTAAACCAGGCTAGGAAAAAGCAGTACCCAGTAAGAATTACTGACTTATCAATTCAGGAATAATAAAAACATTGATTTATGTGTCTGCTGTGACAAAGCACTAGCACTGACTGCATCTTCTAGACTTAAACAAGGACTGACTAAACCTGTGGCAAATTACAACCTTGCTTTTAAGCTCCCAGAAGTTACCCCTGTGCTCTCTTTCTCGCATGACCAATTTTAGGAGAAATGAGTAAATCTCAAATAATATATCACGCAAAACTGAGAATACTGCTTGCATTCCAATGTTAGAATAAGGATGTGTGCCTTGGAGTTACCTTAATCCAGACAAAAAACACAGTGACTGCAGCAATGTTGTTGAATTGCATTTGCCAATATGCCAAAGGCTCAAAATTGGGGAACGAGTTCTGATCTTCCAGCAGCTTCTTCAGCAGCATATCAACAGTTGATGTCCTATAGATGCTAATTCCTATAGCTACCACAGAGAGCTGAGTACAAAAGAAATACACAAATTTATGAAAGGTGATTAGAATTTTAAACCAACTTGTTTTAGTCGCATACATCAGGTAAAATTAAGATATGAGGAACTTCATGTTATTTATAGCACTACCATAATGTGAGCTTTAAGTAAAAGCAAATACACTGTTTTCAAGGTGTCCTGACTACAAAGCTAAAGTTTCAAACAGGAAAGTAACAGCTAGGGATTGCACAGAGCCTAGAAAAAAAAGAAGTCACTATATACAAGCTTTTCACACTCCTTCAGGGTTAACCCCGCTGGTCACTGATCACATTAGTGCTTAGGGCCAGGCAGTTGTGTGGGCTGGAAGGGGCCAGGTTTCACCACTTTTCACTCAGGAGTTAATTTAACAGCCCAGTGGCTGCTGTTTGAGATAGGATCCAAACTTGAATTTCTGGACATATCAGGAAATGCATTTCTCAACAAAACCACTGTAGTCCTAGACTATATACAAATAGCCTGGGAGTAAGAAGATTTAGAAATCTTTTCCTTGCCACAGTTGAAGAAAAAGATGATGGTAAAGCCTAGCGGGCTCAGAAAAATGAAGCTGTCACAGAGAAAGAAAAATAAGGAAAGAAAGATGACAACTCAAAAAGACAAAGGTGAAAAAGAGTAAAGAGCAGAAAGAAAGCAGTAGCCAAAAAGGTACTAGAGTTTCTCCGGAGCACAGACTGACCAGTGTTGCCCAGAACAAGCAAAAGAAGAGAAGTTGTAGTTTTACCATACAGGTAAGGTTCTTGCTTTGACCTCTGCAAATGTGCTTTTTATTAGTGTAAGTGAACACTTCACCATGTATATGGAGTCATAAAGTACATACTCCTAAATTTAAACAATGTCCCTCAGACAAGGTATAAACACAGAATTTTGACTCTTGGTGTGAACTGAATTTTACACGCACACTTGAATACACTTCACTGCCTGTAACAGCAAAGCATCTTATTCCCCTCCACCGTTAAGTATAACAAACGGCACACAGTCCCTGTAAACAACCTCCTAAATGGTCCTTCATTTACAAAGCACTGTGATGCAAGTATGATTTCTCTAGATTACTGATACTAACTTGAAGACTTAAACCTTTAATTCATCCAAGTCTGAAGATGCAAAATGAGCGTGGGACTGGAACCGTTTCAGCACTGCCAGCTTTGTATACTTTTGGTAAGCACAGCTTGATATAAGTCCAGAGAGAGTTTTATTATGTAGCTTTAAATTCAAAGCTCAGATTTTCTGCTACACCAAGATAGTGTCCACCTAACCAAGAAAGCAGCCCTGACAGTTGCTAGCCCTCTACAATTTTGAGACACTTCTTCAAACTTGGTATTAGCTGGTATTTTAATACCACATTAAATCTCTTTGTGGTTCTTTGCAAACACTCAAATCCCAGTCCCATTCCTCCAAATGCAAATCACTACTTTAAAACAGGTGATTTTCTTACTTGAAAGCCGCTGCAATAATCTGTATCAGATATGTAGGAGAGAAACAAGGACGAGTTTGTTACCTCCCATAATGGCTGTGTCTTTACAGACAAAAACTGCGAAAAAGCATACTGGACAAATACTCTAACTTCTCACCAGGACGCTGTGCTGGTTTTGGCTGGGATAGACTTAATCTTCTTCACAGTAGCTAGTATGGGGCTGCATTTTGGATTTGTGCTGAAAACACTGTTGATAATACAGGGATGCTTTCCTTACTGCTGAGCAGCGCTTACCCAGAGTCAAAGCCTTTTCTGCCTCTCACGCCACCCCACCACCAAGGAGTCTGGGGGTGCGCAAGAGTTGGGGTCAGCTGTCCCAGCTGTGTCCCCTCCCGACTGACCAAAGGGATACTCCATGCCATATGATGTCATACTCAGCATATAAAGATGGGGGAAGAAGGAAGGGGGGGATGTTTGGAGTTACGGCGTTTGTCTTCCCAAGTAAGGGTTACAGGTGATGGAGCCCTGCTTTCCTGGAGATGGCTGAACACCTCCCTGCCGATAGGAAGTGGGAATTCCTTGTTTTGCTTTGCTTGAGTGCATGGCTTTTGTTTTACTTATTAAACTGTCTATCTCAACCCGTGAGTTTTCTCACTTTTACTCTTCTGATTCTCTCCCCCATCCCACTGGGGGCACGGGGGGGGGGGGCAGGGCAGAAGGGGGGGAGTGGCTGTGTGGGACTTAGCAGCTGGCTGGGGTTAGACCATGACAGATGTGAAAGTTGAAACCACCAAAGACAGAACAACCAAGTTTGCAAAACACACCAACATTACAACACAGACTAAAATTTTCTTATTCAGACTGAATAGCCCAATAGTCTGTAAGTATCCTTCCTAATGATGGCTCTATCCCTTAAAACCACAACAGGAATACTGAGTCACTAACGTCTCCCACTGAGTGCATTTCAGAAAGCAATTTTAGCCTTATTATAAAGATTACTTACCACAATGATAAGGATATCAAGGCAATTCCAGAGACTTCTGAAGTAGTGCAATCTATGAATGTGGATTTCTAAGATCTCTTCCACCATATAATAAAGAACAAAAAGACAAAATGCCATTTCACAGGCTACCAGGAAAAAATCAAATGTGGAGATGTACTGAATCAGCCTCACTGGCTGAAACTGCCAAGACGTAACAAGGCCTCCAGTTGCTGGAAACTCCACTAACAGCCTGCATTTAAAAAAAGGAAAAAAAAAAAAAAAAAAAAATCACACAGTGCTGATGAAAAGCACTACTAAAAGATACACAGTTTTATTTACATGATTATTTAAATAATTAAAACAGGCAAAAGTCCACATATGATTCAGAGAAGACACTACACAGAACAGAAGGTATAAACCTGACTGCACTCAATTTTGCCTAAAACCCAAAGCATTTCAGGAACAGTGAGACAACAGAGGCAGAGAGACCTGTCTTCATCTTGCACCTGCTTCATCAGTCTGAAAACTGATGTTGTATATCCACATATTTACTTCAATAAGCCAACTCGCCAGAAAAGTCACCTGCAAACTGCACCCAAGCCGTTGCAGCATCAGGAAAGTCAGAACTGCCTCCAGATGGTAAGTGCAGCTGCCATGTGGAGTCCCACTTCTTTGACAGGGAGACACGCCACTTCAGTTGTCCGTCTCCCTTATACAAAACATACGCTTACCCATGTCCTCAAAACAAAGCAATCAGAAGAAAACCCCAAGTCTACAACCTACAGTGTGCAATTTGAACACTGTCACGGTTCTGTTCATACCTGACAACGCAGAATAGGTTGATATTTGCATTGTATACGGAGAAATCAATGAAAGCTGCTCTGGTCCCTCTGTCCAGCCACAGGTTCTTCTTAAGGCTAGCAATCTGCACAGCTGTCACTTCTCTGGTCCTTGAAAGGTCTTGGTAATAACCAGCCCCACTGTATGTGGCAATCAAGCCCCAATGGCTGCTCCCATTCAAGTCTCTCTCATTGGTGTATGTCCAACTAGTTCAGAAGTAAGTGAAACAGAGCATGTTGGTCTTTCCACTTTCAACTTACAATTAACAAAACAGACACCAACAAAACCTGACCAAAGAAACGTATCAGTTACTTAAAGCTGCTTTCATGTAAGAGGTACTTGTAAAAAGTTTTGATGTACCCTGGAGAAAGAGCTTACAAAGTTCCTTTGACTAACACAACAAAATTAAGTTAGGAAGATGAGTCACAAATATATTAATTGTGAAAAGAACACATCAATCCACTCACACAGAGTTTCCATCCTCAAGGAAAGAAAGAAAATTGGCATTTACATAGTAACGTTCCACCTCCAAAACCTTTCACAGTTCAACTCGCACATCATCCCAAGACAGGCAGTGCTGTTCTTATTTTTAGCCAGGGACGACAACTCAGTGAAACCCACTGCAGTAATACAATCTGGAATTACAGAACAGGTGCTCATGAGTTGCAGTGCTGCACTCAGACCACAGCATGTCTCCCATGCATAACAGCTACCAATGGCACAATGACAGCACCTAAACTCAAATGGATCAATAGCACAGTCCTCTCCAAGTTCGCTAAAGTCTCTTCACAAGCAGAACTGGCAGCTGCTCTGGATTTACCTGGCTTTACAGACAAAACATATAGCAAATGCAGAGCTGCCTCTGCCAAGTGACTTATTGTGTAATTCAGCATAACCCAGGTCAGGAGAAAGAAAAAAAAAATGTCTACAGGAATACTACGTACGCTGTTCCATTTCGAAGTCCAAAAGGAGCAGTATCTTCATTAGCTACAGAATAGACATCATAGCAATCTTTGATTTCATCCTTTAAATCTTCAGGTATTGAGCACGAACCATTTCTCACTTTCAGCTGTCGAATGCGAGGCACCCCTAGGAGCAAGTTCTCATAATAAATGAAGCTTTTGTTTTCTGCCATGGTTTTGTTGTTGTACCACATCTCCCAGTAAAGACCATCCAGCAAAGGGCCTTCTGTGAACTGGGGAAGAAGACAGAATTTTAGTTTGCATGTTGCCAGCACTGTTTTTATAGATCTTCATTCTATGGATGTGTTAGAATTGCAGTTGATAATTTTTCTGACATAAGACCTTACTGTTACCTGTCCTCCAAAGACATTTCACAACCTTGCCCTACTAGCATTACCTGCGTTCTAAACTTTCACATATTAAACGTCTACTTTGTTCCATAGCTTTGACATTGTGCACATAGATCTTCATGCACAACCCCTACTGCACGAGAAAAAAAGATCCTGCAGGTTAAATTTACAGGCCATGACACGACAAGCAAATCATGGCAACAGAGAGATAAAATATTGGTTTTAGATTACCTTCCAGAAGTCATCCATTGTGGACAAAGTTTTGAAATCAGTTTTCTCCATTTTTGATACAGGTGTTTCCAGGAAGAGCTGCGACATAACCCTGGTGTAATAGTACATACTGGAACTCACTGTCCCATAAGTCACTGCAAAAGATTTGGTAAGGAGAGGGGGCGAAGAGCAAGGGCGGTGTGGAAGGGGGGTAGAAAGGGGGTTGGAGATAGAAAAATAGAAAATAAAAGAAAAGAGGACTTCACTTGTTTTGAATACATCAAGCTGTATTTTTACCGATTTTGCACTGAAAAGTTTAAGCTTCAAAACAAAACAAAATCCACACCAAGCAGCATTTGTCTGTGATTAAAGTACAAAAAACAATGAAGAATAGACTGATCAATCAGTTTAAAATACCCAGTTCTCCCTCCTACACCTCATTCTATTATTACTGCTTCCACAAAAGCTAACTTCAAGAAAAACAAAAGCACAATTCAGCAATCTGAAGAGAGGCAACTAGTGCCTTTTTAGGTGACTTGTGCTATCCAAGGCAACCACAGAGAGCTGGCACGGGTGGCACAAGACCTCAGGAGAACTATGCCCTGCTTGAGCAGATAATGACAGTCAAGTGGGATATCGCAGGGCACTGTAAATGACATTAGCCACCTATGGTTAGACAACAAAACTCCACCCAAGATGTGCAGTGCTTCTGTTGAAGATTAACCTAAAAATGTGAAATGATCTGTTCTTTCTAGGCAAGATGTTATTTGTGTGTATATTAAGCTGACAGTCTAAAGACACTTCATCCACATCATTTGTAATCAGAAAAGAAAGCAGCTAGCATTCTTTAACCAAGGACATCCTGGAGTAATTGGGCCTTGAAGAACCTCAAAAAAGAATTAAAAGACTGACAAGAAGGAAACATGCCGCCCTAGAAAGCGCCGAAAGTTGAGTGATTGATAATGGGCATGAAGTCAGTGGACATCTGTGGTAACTAGGGGAAAGGTAAAGGCGGCAGGGGGAGATCACGACCACCAACTCAATTCAAGACCAAAAAGACTTACCCCCCACACACTCCTTGAGCATGCGCTGTAGAATAAAAGAACACTGTACTTTTAATTCGAAGCAGAGAAAACCTTAGCCCAATAGAAATGGTGACAGATTAGTGACTACCAATAATGATTTTGGGGAAGGACTTTGGAAACTAAATGGGTGAATCCAAAACTGTGTAAATTGCTTGTTTGTTTAACTGTAGGGTGTGCTACCTTTGTGGAATTACCACCTAGCACCCCTCTTTGCACAAATATGAAATAAATAATTTTTCTTCTGAGTATGTGATTATTGGCTCGCTGCACACTGGGTAATGAATCTGACTTTCAGACAACACTTCTAAGAGAATCTCCCCACAGAAAATAAAACAACTGCATGTTTCTTTTCCTCACACGGGGCCAAGCAGAGGACCACACAGCATAAATTATAAAACGATGTACAAAGCCAGATGGCTTAAGAGAACAGTCTCTGGCACCGATACTGTTACTGCCTGTAAATACTTAAAACCATTTTAGGGCTAAAACTCAGACAAGCCTGAAAGATTGAGTTTACACCAAACAATCTCCATCAGTTTTGACAATTTTATAAAAATATTTTATCACAGGGAAGAGAATGTGTTTTCTTTAGCAACCAGAGAACAAGGACTATTTTTAATAGACTTCTGCTGTGGCACATGGAATGTATCACATGACTGTGCAATACCTGGTTTCTCTCTAGATAAGTACTCTTAAAAATACAAGAGTACAAGAAATGCCCATAGCATTTAGCCTGCACCAGAAAGCTCACTCCTAGGGCATGCCAAACCACAGACCAGTCTGTCCCAGAGTTATTGCTTTCATGTAAAATTAGAAAGGATAGTACTTAAAAACACTAATGAGTAAGCAATATCTGTAGGTATTTAACACAGTATACTTTTCCTTTATTCTGTTACCAAAAATCTTTTTCTATAGCAAAACAAATTGTTAGCAGCCTGCAGTCAAACTTTTCCCACTGAAACCAATTTCACTTTAATTCAGGTCCCTCACTGCTACACCTCTCCTGGTGGTACAGCACACCAGCCACAAGCAGTCTTACACAACTTTGCTCATAAACCCACACTAAGCATTCTTAAAGGACTTGGGAAGGGAAAACCCATTATATTTAATATATAACCATGCTTGCAGTACACCACCAAAACAGTTACGTCAACAGTATAAAGTTTGGGGATTTGGGGTTTTTGGTAATCCTACTCCAGACAAGCAAGGCAGACTTGCTCTCAGAACCCGTCTACCAATGTAGTTTTGCATTTTCTTTTCCACTCCAAGATTCTCTTTCACAAAAAAGTAAAACTTCACCTTGTTCTATTACAACTGATCATAAATGACAATTTAAGCATCACTGACATTTCAGGCATTTAGAACAGAACTGCCCACACTAAAAATTGGAGACTTGAAACATATCGGCTAACTTAATGCATACAGATTTTGTTGTTATTCTCTCTAGTAACCAAATAAAACATCTATTTCACAACTCCATAGTTAAGTTCTATTTTGCACTGTCTTACTAATTTTTATGCAATTATATGAACATGCCTTGTTCTGACTATCAACTTAAAAAAACCTAGAAATCTTGAAATAGGATAAGGGCTTCAAGTTCCCAAGGCCAGAAAAGAGGACTGGTCTCAAAACTGTTACATTATATCAGCCGCAAGTGTTCAGGGTGCTGTGTGAGGCTTGTGATAAATAAACATCCTGTACTATCTATGCTCCAGTACCACTAAGGTTCCTCACCCTGAGAAAAGACCTGCAAACTCAGTTCAGGCTGCTTTCTTAAACTCCGTTTGGGTCCAGGAATATTGTTGTGCGTGAGGCTGGAGATCCGTCAAGCGCCTCACTTCTGTACTAAGACTGTATTTAGTAGAAGTACTAATATTGTCTTCAGTGTTGATTCTAGAGCACTCACCTCAAAGTAGTCACCTACTTAAAAGCCAAACAAAATTAAAAAAAAAAAAAAAAATAAAAAAAAAAAAAAGAGTAGGTTGAATGTTAAACTGTTCTGTGTTCTACAGTGTTATGATAATTCATATGATATCATAGACAACAAAACAGATGGCACACTTAAATCATGGAAGTCTCCAGCTATGATCCATATACTCCTGAGTATATAAGTCCCAGATGCATTTAAAACATCCAGCAACATGCAAACTCAGATTAACCGTTATTTCTAAGTAGTTAGCATTATCTCTGCCTTTCCACCTACTATCAATAACTTTTACTCTTAGAATGATCTGTACATAAGCTTGGTGATAAATTTGGTTTAATTTAATTTTTTGTCCTAGATGACTAACTCTGACTCCTCACATTTAACAGTTCTGTTCAGTTATTTCAAAATGTATAGCAGAAGCATTACACTGCAATGTCGTGCTACATTAAAAAAAATGCTCCCTAAAAACAAAGAGTAAGTATAGCCTGCTTAAATGTTCAAAGCTTGTTAAGGCACAGGAAGTTGCAGTATTTTCAACCTCAAGCAACAACGCACGCACAGAAACAAGAGAAAGATTTAATTCCAAATATTTGCCTACACACCTGCCCATTAATTCTTCTCCCAAATTGTCACTGAAACAACCTTCATTCTGGAATCACAGAGAGCAAGCAGACAGTACAGAACAGGATGCATTAGTGCTGAATGGTACTTACGGACACACAAGACCACAAGGAAAATCATGTACGTAACCAACTCCCGCAAAACACTTTTTAGATATCGTTCTCTGCTGGTGTTGCTTTCTTCCATGAGTCTTGTCCCCCACAGACCTTGAAAGGAAAACAGATATAATGATGTACACAGATGTCTGATACTAGACACAGAAGTGACATAATAAGTTAAGTGGTTTTGAAAGCTTAACCTATGTCATGTCTTCTGCAGGTTCTTCTGTGGATTTTAAACTGATCTAAGTTCAAGCAAGAACAACTTCTTCTGTAGGCTGAAAGGAGCACAAGGCAGTTATTTGCTATTCATGAGATACCACAATAACTTAGTAACAGCTCAGCAGAACTCTAACAGAATCTACTGAATATTTGCCAGAAATGCTGTAACTTAAAGCCATATGGTATGAAAACAGATGCAAGTATACAAAGACATGCACAGACAGCCATCCTTCAAAAAATGAAGTTTTGGTTTTTTTTAAAATATGAAAAGCATTGTTAGATGAATGAAAATCCACGTTCAGTATCTAACCTTTAATAGCAGTCTTAACTAACTTTCTACCTGGAAGGAGGACGCATCAGTCAAACATATTTTTAAAGAAAACAAATCATAACCTTCCTCTCCCAAATAGGCAAGGCATATCCAACAGACACACAGCAGGGATCTTGGCGAGTATTTCTACATGATTTCTTTCCCTGCGACAGAGTTATCATTGAAACATCAGCAGTGTCCTAAATGAGCAACCGCCATCTAGGTGTCAAAGTGGGTAACTGCATTAGCTGAACTATTCCTGCCTCTTACTAGCGTCCTATTTGTACTGGGTTTGTGTGCCAAGGTTTTGGGGGGGGGGGCCGGTTACAGGAGTGGCTTCTGTGAGAAGCTGCTAGAAGCTTCCCCTGTGTCCCATGAAGCCAATACCAGCCGGCTCCAAGACGGAACCCCTGGCGGGCCAGGGCAAAC